CTGAATGCCGTAAATACCACAGTACTGCTATCTTTTATCCCGAAAAGAAAAGACATCTATCTGAAAGGGATTCAGTTGTTTGAGATGTCAATTTCCTTCTTATAGTTCATAAAGGTGGGACCACAACAGACTTCTAGATGGATTTATTCCAAATTAGTCAAAACCCACCAGTTGTGAACAACCAACGTGAATGGGTGATTCAAGAAGGCAGAAGCCAGGAAGCTCCACTCCTCTCTGCAGAGCAGCTCTAGAATTCACTGCAGGGTTCATGGTGAGTGGTGATTAACACACCTCAGCAGGCTTAGGGCTGTAGGTACAGAACATCTGGTTGGTAAAATGCTGTCATTTTAGGGTTGTGTCCTCTAAACCATAAACTACTAGAGAAATATTTTTAAATGGCTTAAAACTGAAACCAATATGGAAGGCAGGAAGGACTCAGAATAAGCCTTCTTTGGTAGTATAAAAGAAGTTTAGTTCCAGTGAAGGACGGTAGGGATGCAGATGTCAAGCAGCAGGAACAGAAGTGATGTACTTCTGCAGTTTGCATCAGGGAAGACTTCCTGAAAGACAAAACTGGAGGAAAAGGAAGAGAATTCTCGGTTCATGGAAATCCTAAGTAAAAACACGTCAGGGAAAAAGGCTCAGTATACTCATGAATAGCCAAACACTGCCGAAGGATAACAAGGCTGGGACTTGGCAAAACTGAAAGCGCTTCAGAACAAGGGAAGGCGGGTATTATTGAAATAGCTTACTGTTGGGTACCAGAGACTCATTCACACAGTGGACTCTGAGGAGCAGCCGTCACATTTGAGTTGCCATAAACAATCACACAATCAGTCTGCAGATAAAGGATGTAAAGGGCTGAGACACACAAAGAATTTAGAGCAGAAGGTAAGTGTGCAGAAGTGCAAGACAAGCAGGATCAGAGTGAGAACAGGACACTGGGGGGGGGGGCTGGTAAACGGTGACTCAGTAATCAGGCAGAGCAAAGAGGTGGAATGAGCACTGACCACACTGCAAGACGAGGCCCTGGAAGGAGAACATTTTAAGAGAGTTAAGTTCCTTCAGGGTCTCTGATTTCTGTCACTTTAGAAAACTATATGCAGACAGCAAATTAGTGGATACACTGGCTTTAAACAAAAAGAGAAAAACAGATTTTAGGTGTAATAGCACGTAAATCATGTTACATGAAAAGTAGATGATGTAGTGAGAGATTATACAATGGTAGCCCAAGACAGACCCCAGGAGAAAATCTTAATGTTTGAAGGACAGTTTTAAAAAGGAAACAAAATTCAACCAAACACAAAAAGCCAGTGCAAAGGGCAGTTAAGAGTGTTGGGAGCTGGAAAGTTGGCTCTGTAGTAGAGAATCCATGCTCAGTTCCCAGCACCCTTGTTGCACAGTACCTGTAATTCCAGGTCCACAGGCTCCAATGCCCCCTTCTGGTCACTGCAGGCACCTGCACTCATGTGGCATTTACACACACACACACACACACACAATCTCTCTCTCTCTTTTTTAATTATTGAGTTTTAAAAGCCAAAAGAAAACAGTCTAAGGGATAGGCCTCAGAGATGATCACTAAAAATGGCTCTTCAATGCGGTGATCATTAAGCAAGAGTTGTGTCATGTCATGACACACAGCACAAGGGCTGAGAAGAGGAGGGAGGCATGCCTGAGAAGTAAGTGAGATGATGCATCACTTCTTCAAGGGGCTGACATGAAGGCCAGGAGATTCTTACAAAATGCTAAGGTACAGAGGCCATCAAAAAAGTGAACTAATTTTCAGTATGGAAATCAAATTTTCCTTACTAATTCAGGGAGAACAACTCAGTTGATAGGCAAAAGTGAAAAACAAATGCGCAATTGCATGGCATGAACAAGAGGATCAAATTAAACTGTGATGTAGAAAAATGTAGCAATGATTATACTTACAAGGGGAACTCCCACTTCTGCCACTTAGTACATTTTTGATCCTGAGCAACTCCCTTAGGCCCTCTGCACTCAGTTTCCCCATCAACACAAAGAGGATGATGGCAGAGCTTCCTTCCATCACAGGCTTCATGAGAACTGAATAAGCATAGATAGCACCCACCATTCCTGGCACAGCACTGGTTCACAGAAAGATCTGAAATCGGTCTTCAGTGAAGATCTCATGTAAAAATTACAGTGTTCAAACAACTTTGGCAGTTACCTATTTTAGCTAGGTGTGGTGATGTATGTCTGACACTCTCCACTGGGGAGGCTGAGACAGTGGGTCACCAGAGCAAGCTGGGCTATAGTGTGAGACATTATCTCAAGCAAACAAAACAAACCAGAATGCCACAGCCTTTTCCAGTTCAGGGGTCAAACCCACTGCCCTGTTTACCAATCCACTCTATTCCTAGCTCCACCCCTATCCACAGTACTTCACGTGTTCAAAGGCTGGGTTACCCAGTTATGATACGTCCTAATGGAATGCTGGCATAGCAGGTTCATAATTCTCTTCAATAAGTAGGTTACTATTTGTCCACACAGAAGAAAGAGCACTGATGATCTATGAACAGATTATAAAAAGTATATGTACATATAACACTACTCAGAAAGGGGAAATCAGGTGCTCCATTGTAATTTTAAATGGGAAAGGATCCTTTTTCTCAGTGGCATTGAGATACACCTCTCATTAATTTCTGTAACAAAACTGCAGAGCCTTGTATATTCTTGTGTCAAAATGAATTAAACATAACTCTGAATAGTAATGTGTTGTAATGTTGTCTCCCTTTTTAATTTACATGTGCAGTAGTCTTCAGTGATATAGTATATAATTCTTCCAGCCAGTCCAGAAACAAAAAGATTCAATTATTCCACAGATCCATAACCAACCACCAATTTCCCTTATATATCAGAATTTCATTAGTTAGGACAGAAACAAAGTCAGCACACAGTAAAAGATCAAAGAGAAGTGCATAAAAATACATTAAATTTCATTACCCAGTGTCTCATTACTGAGAGGAGTGCTGCCACCTTTTATATAAAACAAGAGCCCTCTCCTTTTATCTAACAAGGAAACAATCATCAATGCGGCTCTCAAGCAAAATGATGTACATGTGGGTCCACAATTAAGGCATGAGTGAATGAACTAAATTAATATGATAATTTAAGAAAATGTCAAGTCTGCAAATTGGAGTAAATGTACATGGGGTCCCAGTTTACATTCAGAAATGTCACACACAGATTTTAATTTAGAGGTGTAGCACCTAGCAAAAGTCCCTAAGATTCTTTCCTAAGCAAGTCTTTTCGGGAAAGAAATACATAAACTCTTGATATTAAGACTAACTAAACTGCTATGAATGTGCAGTCACGTGTCTTCCTGGCTCACCTGCATTGTCCCTTTCCCCCTATTCTAAGCATCAAGTGTAAGTCACTAGGTAGTCAAAAGTACCAGAAAGCACAACACCGAGGCTCGTCTTTGAAAATATTTAACAGACATTTAGCAATGAAGACAGTCTTTGGATTTTACTGTTAAAAATTATTTAATTTGTGGCATCAAGGTGAGAAAGGAACCCACTTTTTCTGTGCTCAATAAACTCATTATCACTATATAGAATTATAGTGAATATGTATATATTAGAGATTACTACTGTATAAGACATGGATAGTAATAATCCAGGAGGGAATAGACTACAATAACTGAGTATCACAATACTGGTACTGAAGCACTAAAAACAAAACAAAAATGTCATGTCAAAGATTAAGCAATATTCTCAGGAAATCACACACAGAATCCATCTCATGTAATTGTGTTATGTCACCTAACAAGTTAGTAGCTATTCCAGAGATTGAAAATGCTGCTTCTCAATTAGTAAAAAGTCAAAATAGTGGGGGGGGGGGATTCAGTCACATAGAAGAAGCAAAACTCCATTATGCTGTTGATTGAGATAAAAGGACACCCTGTGTTGAAATGAAAGATCATGTAGTAGGGTAGAGATGGTGTCTTTGTTATCCTGCCCCCAAATCTGGCACTGGAACACTGAACACAAAGAAATGAAGGAGTTACCCCCAACTCAGGGCTGAGCTCTGGGTTTGTACCAATCACAGTCTAGCTACCACTGCTTCTTTTGTGGTTACAAAGGCGTGATTATTTGCTTGAACCAACAACAACCTGGACTCTGCAAGCAATGAAAAGCAGTTTTTAAACAACGTGGTATGGATTTAATGCCTGGGGCAGCCACGTATAATACACACACACACACACACACACACACACACACACACACACACACACACACACACACACACAGCACCACTGCCTAGGAACGCCACTAAACTTGTGCATTCCAGTCCATTCACTTTCCACCCCCCTTCACAAGATGGCACTGAGTCACCTGAAACAATCTAAGTGCTTTTCCAAATGCGAACTCCTATGCGAATTACACAACCCTCACTTTAGTTGGCAAAAGATACTCAGAAAGGAGGAATCTGCACTATGGACACTAAGCCCGGACCCTTCCCTTGGTCTTATTTTACTGCTTGAGTCTTTCCTATCTATAAAGCTGAGGAATCTGCAAAGGTACAGACAGCCGGGCCCCAAGTTCTTTACCTAAGCGGACCCCCCCCCCGCTGCTACCCTCTGCCTTGTCCTCCCCTAAAGACACAGGCGCTCCTTTCTGAAGTCAGGAAGTGGGGTGACTCCACGGAAGGAGCAACAAACACGCAGGAGAAACCAACAAGAAATCCATCAAGTCGCCAAGTCTAACGACACCCGGGGGCCAGCACCGCTGGGCCTCCTCAGAAAGCTCGGAATCCCTGCGAGACGGGGGGACGAAGAAAGAGAAGGAGGGAAGGAGGGTGGGGAGAGCGCAGTCGGGAGGACGAGTCGCCCAGGTGAGGCTGCCGAGCCGGAGTGACGCAGCCACGGTCACCTGTGGGACCGCCGGGCTGGGCCCACGTCCGGGGACAGCGCCGAGCCGCGGCCGGAGCCCCGGAGCCCCCGGGGCGGAGGAGCCCGGCCTTGAACTCACCGTCCACGGTCTTCTTCTTGAAGAGGGACGCCATGGTGAGCGGGCGGGCGCGCCGGGGCGGCCCAGCTCGGCCCGGTTCGGTCCGGCCGGGCTCTCGGGAAAGGACAGCGGGAAGGACGGAGCCTGGGTGGGGGCGAGCGGCTCGCCGCGGCGGAGGGGGGCGGGGGCAGGGTCTCGGGACCCGAGGTGCGGCAGGCGTGACTCCGCGAGGCTCCCGCGAGCGCGTCGTGGGCGCTCAGGTGACCGGGAACTAAAGACACTTTTTGGAGAAGTCACTTCTAGGCGGCGCCTGCGCGTCCTGCGCGTACGCCTGCGCACTGCGCGTCTGAAGCCGCCGCGCTGCCCTCACTGCCAAGGCTGCCAGCTCTTCTGCCCGAGTCCGCGTCGCGGGGATGCTTGGCCGGAGCCAGGCTGGCCCCGGCAGGTGTCTCCGAGTCCGCAGAGCGCTAGGACGGTTTCTGTGCTGACCTCAAGCACCTGTAACACCTGCCCGGCGCTTTCCTCCTTATTCCAGGCTGCTGGCACTAGGGATCCCGGGGACCTGTGACTGCCTGACTGATGGCAGTCGGACTTCCCACGCCAATCAGCGCGGGGCCTTGGAGGATGCTCCGGGAGTGCTCCACAGGGCCTTGCACCAGGAGCTCTTCCCGACCGTCCTAATGACCTTCTTCCACCCGCCCCGCCTCCTGCGGGACCCAGCTTCACCTGCTGCCCGGTTCCGGGTGCCTCCACCAGCCTGCATCTGTCCCCAGGGATCTGGGGTCTGGAGATTGTTTGGCCAGGAAAAGCATGCGTGACGAACAAGTTTCTTTATACTGCACTATTGTTTAATGCTCTTGGCCGGAAACAAGAGTGAAAGTCTACTTGTGTTTGTATTCTTGCTTTAACGTCACCAACTCTTTCTAGATGCCTTATAAATAGCTCAGAAAGCACGTAGACACACACACACACACACACACACACACACACACACGTCTGTACAGCGTACCTAATAAATTGCTACACAGCTCTAGGTTGATACCAAAAGTCTCCATGCTGTGTTAAAAGAAGAGCACAATTATTTACATTCTTGAATGTATAAAATACAGAAAATATAATCTTGTACGTAGATATTTATGTGTACATTCCTCTGCTTAATAATTTAATTCTCTATTGACAATCATAATTTGGCTTTGAACATACTTCGCTCTGAATCTCCTATGTAGCTCACTGCCTTCCATGGGATTAAAAAAAATAGGTGAATCTGGAGGTGGTGTTCAATAGAACTCATGACTGTGTGACAGCCCTGGTTCAATTATTAGTATCTAGTAATAGTAGTGGTATTTTGAGGATCATCAGACTTGCTTTCTTCATTTTTTAACTTCATAAGAGGTCAGCCCCCTCACAAACACTGGTAACCCAATGTTACTACTCTTAAGTCAAATTTAGTGAAGAGCTTGTTAGGAAAACTTTCTGGGAACAATTGTCTTCCTCTCTCGAGTTAGTCATTTTTAGGAGGTAAAGTAAACCATACTGGAAATATAATAGAGGAGAGATACTGTACCCAGGACATGGCCTTTTCTCATGGAAACGCCATGGATGGGGTGGGGGTGGGTGGCTTCCCCGTGGTAATGAATCTCACAGAGCTGTGCTTGAATGCATGAGAGGCAATAAGCTGCCATGTGGGGTGGATCTCACTCATCCCCGCTGCAGTCACCCTTGTTTTATTACTCCTAAGCGATCCCCCCCACTGACCCAATTGAAACAGTTGGGAAAATGCCAAGTACTTAGCAGCAACCATATGGAAGACCCTCCAAAAGTGCACAGCGGGAGCTAAAGACAGGGTTTGCTCATTACAATAAAGATAAAATAGAAATATGTACCTCTGAAGCTCGGCACTCTAATAGCTTGCTGCTCCCATAGTTTCAAACAGGCTGACATCCAGTTGATATGTCTCAGTCTGGCTGGCATCCCTTCTATTTAGTTAATGGCCAAACTCAATCCATACATAACGTGCATATGTAAAGACCAAGGTATATGTAAATGCAGTTGCGGTTTGGGACACTGACAAGCTTTAAATTGAAACCAGATTTATTTATTTTAAGTTACCGCTGTCATATACAAATCTGTTATATCAACAGACACATATATAAGAATAGCATATTGTAGACTTTAATAGTGGTCTTTAAATCTCTTTCAGAAAAAGTAAATTATTACTCCATGATAATATCTTTATGACCCAGCATTGCTCTTTCAAGTTGCTCACACAGCAGAAATCCTATATGTCATAGCTTGCTGTGTGTTGGGGATAGCCTAGGAGAAGAAGAACAGAAAACATGCCCTATACCCTTTGACTTATTTCCCTGCTAGTTTTCATCTCCTCTGTCTCACTGGGGAAGGACTCAGCTTTGACTCAGCATAAGAAAAGAGGTCATAAAACCACACCTATTGTGAAATGGCATGACTGCTATGAGCTCTTCCCCACTGCTGTGTTTAGAAATGGGTGGTTGTAGACTGGTTCCCTTTAAATAAATCCCTGATTAGAATATTAGTAAAGTGCTTTTAAGGTATGAAGTAGTGAAATTCAGCTTAGGTAAAAAAATCTTTCTTTCACGCCTTACCAATAATACCACAACATCTTGCTTGTCTTACTTTGTCATATAATGAAGCCAGGAAGACAGTCTTCCGCCGGTTTGAATGATTTTCTTCAGGTAGCCTTCAGTTTTGTTCTGCTTGCTTCGTTTTTGCTTTGTTCATATTGAGACAGAATCTTCAGTAGTCATGGCTGGCCTTGAATTGGCTGTGTGATCTCCAACTTCTGATCCCTATGCCTCACTCTTTGACTGGTAGGAGTTTAGGTATATTAAGGCTTTATGTGCGACCTATGGCTTCCCTCGTACATACTATGGAAGCACTCTCCCAATGGAGCTATCTCCTCTCTTCTGTTGCTTACCTCTGTTCTTTTCCATCTCCCAGCCTCTGTTGGTTTCTGTAGAGTAGAATGGGGCTGGTTTCAATGTAAATCAGATCATGTCATTCTGTTTGTTTGTTTGTTTTTTAAGAATAAACATGTAATGGTTAATTCTGACTAGAGCTAGAATTGCTTAGGCTAAAGCCTTGGGCATCCCTGTAAAGGATTGTTTACATTTCTTTAGACTTCTGGCAACCCTGTGAAAGATGACCTAGATAAGATAAGGTGCTCCACATTCTTGTGAGGGTTTATATAGATTATGTTAATTGAGATAGGAAGACCCACCTTAATTGAGGGTGGGGCCTTTCCATGGATTGGGATCCTGGAACTGATAAAAATGAAATCGAGGCTGAACACAACCATCACTCTCTCCTGCCTGATTGCAATGCCATGTGGCAGTAGCCTCCCTCCCTTCCTTTCACGATGCCCTCCCAAACATCCTGGACTTCCCCTAGCAATAAGGCAAAAGAAATCCTTCCTTTCTTAAATTGCTTAGATTAGGTGTTTTTGTTACATCAGTGAAGAGGGTAGCAAACCCAGAAAATTGGTATCAAAAGATGGGTCCTTGTTCTGATAAACCTGATCACAACGCACTTAGACCTTTGTAACTAGTCTGAGAGAAGTTTGTGGAAGAACTTGGAGCAATGGCTAGAAAAGCTCTTGAATACTATAAAGAGAAATTAATTATCCATTCTCAATGGAGCCTGCTTAACAAGATTGTTGACAGACAATGGATCCCTAGCTCATGAGCTTTCATAGAAGAACAAAGAATATCAGAATCTGCCAGTACCATTCATATGATTTTCTAGCAAAGAATCTAACTGTAATTGTATGCCCAAGGAAACTGAATAGGGTTGACTTTAAAAGTAATGATAGTGCAATTTGGCAGAAAAAAATTGAAAACGGGAGCATTAGGGCTGGGTGCACTGTTATTTATCACACTTAAGTCTAAGGTGAAAAACAGCAAAGCATTCTGTAGAAATCATTCCAAAAGTGCAGTTTGACATGGAAGAGAATGTAAGCAAACTTAAAGGAGTGGCCAGTCAGAGAGTCACGATTCTCCTTCTGTCTCTTCTGCATTTCCTACTGACGTGGGCTTCCACAGATTGTCTGCCAGGCAAGGTGTACCTACTGATGCAACAGTGACATTGCAGTTATCAGGAGAACCAACTACTTTCTGGTTGGATAAGGGGCCTGTATACAGGATGACTTTCATGTCAGATCCTGTGGACCTGGTGTAAAGCCTGTGGCCAAAGGCCATAGACCCCAGAGGGGAAGGAACTACTCGTTCTGCTAAATGAATGAACTGCCTTTTAAATATTGACATCTAAATACTTATGTTTATATCTGTGGATTATTACTGCCACATGCTTTGACCAGGAAGACTTCATTATTTGTGAATTAAGTGCAGACTTTCATAACTGGTCATAGTTCTGAGAACAAGGAATCACCGAATGCCAAACCACTAATGGCGCATCTGTGTCACTCCTCAAGGAACATTGCAAAAGAGAGAGCAGAAGAAACATAGGCGCTGGAGAAAGGAGTGGCCTTGTGATCATTTTAGTGGTTAATTTGGTTTGATTTGGGACCAAGTAATAAGACAATACCTTTAAGTACATCTAGGTCTCTCTTTTGGGAGCCTAGGTTAAACGATGTATAAAGGAATAGTAAGGATGCATTAGCCTGAATGCCTTTGCTGCTTGCTGGTACTGACATCTACTCTGCTATCATCACTTACTGGTAACAGAATCCATAGTTTCTAGCCTTCCAATGTGAACTGACAAACCTCAGCTTCCCCCAAATCTTGCAGGCCTTCCATGCTAAACTGAAAGTGCTCAGGCTACTAGGTTCCTAGTATCTTCAACTACAGAGTCATTGTTCAGTTGTCCTATCCCATGTAATATAAGCCCATATAATAAACCCTTTTGCAATATGTATTAATTCTACTACTTCTGCTCACTTAGAGAACCCTGACTAACACAAGCATAACAATATACACATTTGTAAAACATGTACACACAGGTACTGTACTCCCTTATGATTGAAATTCTGGTATTAGTCATCAAAAGTCTGAATTTTCACAGTCCAAGTTAACCTTCTGGTTATTTCCCTTCATGGTAGGTCACTGAAGTGGAAAGTGACCGTTTGGGTGTTATTACAGTGTGATGAAATCGGTCAATTTTCTTGTTCCATGAATTGCATTTCCCTTTCTTTACTCTCTTTTTTTCTTTCTTTTTTTCTTTCTTTCTTTTTTTTTTTTCTTTCTTTCTTTCTTCCTTCCTTCCTTCCTTCCTCCCCCTCTCTTTTTCTTTCT